CTCACTGCTGGTGCTCACTGCTAGTCCTCACTGCTGGTGCTCACTGCTAGTCCTCACTGCCATCGAGTCCCTCCCAACTCATGCCAACCCTAGAGGACAGAAAAGAATGGCCCCTGTAGGTTTCTGGGATTTTAAATCTTCCCAGGAGCCAATAGCCTCAGCGTTCTCCTTTGAGACAGCTGACCACTGGCCTTGTAGTTCCATGTGTGACCTGCTATGTCACCAGAACTCCTTGATGTCCACATCAGGAGACAGATGCTGAGATCACTACTGAAGCCTCTGGCCACTGCAAGGATTACAAGTGTGGCTGCCACCCCAATTGGCGGACAGTTCATTCAGGGTTGCCTGGGACAAAAGCCCTGACAATCTATTTCTGAAAGATATCAGCCATTGTAAACCTCGCACACAGGGGCCTCCTTGTGAATCCGACTCAGTTCAGTGACAAGTGGTTTTGTTTGTTATGATAATTAGCATCGAGGTCATGACATTCGGATTGGGTACTCGAGTCAGGGAGAGCAAACAGGTTTCATCTTGAGCTTTAACTGTGATCCTTTGGCAGTGGCTGCTCAGTATGCTGTCTGGGTGCCGATAATTCTGAGGTCAGCTCTGGGCTCGGTGGAGTGCCCTGATTGATTATTGATGTCTGCCACGATCACGGGAACTGTGGCAACGGTAGAGGCTGTCAGATGTTGGCTACATGGGGGTCACTGCTGACTGCTCACAGGGTCAGGGGGCAGGTCCCACTCACTGTGATCATGACCGAGTTCCAGGTGGCTGAGAAGACGTCTGTGTCATTGCTGCCCTGGTAGTGCTTGGTGAGTTCTTTTGTGAAAAATTCACGAGTGAGCTGGGGATAGAGAGAGATGAGCTGAGACTGGGCAGCTTGGTGCAGGGCACCCCCACTCCTCCCCTCCCCAGACTGGGGGCAGGCAGCCCTGACTGACAGGGTGCGGAAAGCCAGCCAGGGCCCGAGAGGGAGCCCAGTACGTACATTTTCTCTGAAGAGGAAGGCCAGGATGGCTGCCGAGAGCTCCGCCAGGAAGATGAGCAGGATGAACAGGAAGAACTGCCAAGAGAGGAAGTGGTGAGCCCGGGGTGGGGGTGAGGGTATCTGGGGACAGGCAGGGCTTGCTGCACGTGGGCAGGGCGGTTGCTTACCAGGTGGTGCTTCATGGCACCCCGGGTCAGTCATGCAAACTGACATAAAATACTGCTTGGGTACAAAGGAAACACTTCACCATCATCCACTGGATGCTTCCCATAACAAATTCACCACCTCTGACGCCCAGAGGGGTGGAACAGATATGTGGAAAAGGGACCCACAGACCTACGCCATCGAGTAAGTGGTGCCTTTTTGGCAGGCCGCCTTGTGCAATGCACAACGTGGACAACCCTCCTGGGGAGTCTGGGTGGACACTGCTGATGAACGCCGCCTGCCTCCCTCCCCGGAGCAGGCCTTGCCTGCAGGGGGAGAGTAAAAGCTGTGGGAATCGTGGGCCTCACTGGCCAGCTCAGGACTCCTCTCCCTGACATTTAGGGGGCATTGAGGCTGTGCTGCAGTCCCTGGGTTCTGCAGAAGGTTAAAGAGTTTGGTTGGAAACTACAAGCCTGGAAGTGGGAAGTCTGAAGCCACCCAGAGGCACCGCAGAAGAAAGGCCTGATGATCTCTTTCTGAAAGAGTCAGCACTGAGGCTGCTACCAGGTGCTGCTCTATGGGACACACTGAGGGTCCCCACGGATCATCATCAATCAACCTGATGGCCGTTGGTTAGCACACATGGCCACCGACTGGTCACTTGAGGCTGTGTGTTCTTGGATTCTGGGCAGGTTTCAGGGGGAGCTTCCAGACTAAGATGGACTAGAAAAAAAGGCCTGACGATCTGTTTCTGAAAACCCAGTGGGCTGCAGTGGTCCCGCCAACCCCTGATCATGGGGATGGCCCAGGGCCGGGCAGCTTTCCTTGTGTTGTAGCACGGAGTCACCATAGGACGGGGTCAATTCTACATTACCCGCCATCCAGGCAGATGCCGCCAGCTCAGGGGCCCAGGCAGCTGGTCTTTGGCAGACTGCTCGACTTGCTGGGCCTGCCCGCCCTCCTGTCCCTGAACCTCTCCTTCCCACGAGGAACGGGAGGTGACACTTATCTTCAGTGACAGTGAAAGAGCAGGACTGAGGGGGACACGTGTCCACCAGAATCCGAACACTGGAGGGCCAGGGTCCAACACCTCCCCAGCCCCAGCCCCTTGGCCCCACTCGCCCCGCAGGTAACCGGAACCTTCATGTGCCATGTCCCTCTGCTCGATGCCCTTCCCACTCTCCCTGCTCCGCGCCACCTCCTCAGAACTCCAGCCCAGAGGTGGGGGTCCCCCCACTTTCCTAAGGGATGCCTCTCTGGACTTCCCCAGCAGAGGGGAGCATTCCCACTAGACCCCTAGCTTGAGGATCGGGGCTGCACCTCTGTAGTCTCTGGCACCCCACTGCCCTGGGCAACAGTCATCGCCATGATGAGATGAATGAATGAGTGAGTGAATGAATGGTGGGGATCCTGCTATCCTGCTACATCGTGGGCTGCTGGGAGGACCAGTCCTAGGAGTATAGCCAGCGTGCTCCTCGGCTGCAAGGGTGGCGAGACCTCGTCTGCTGACTTGAGACGGAGGATCGGGGCAGGCTGGTAGGCTGGGAAAGGGCCTGGTGGCTGGTGCGGCAGGCCAGTGATCAAGGGGATGTCTCCCCAAGACACATCCCTCCCGGACACAGTAGCTGTAACAACAGGCTTGAGCACAGCCAGGCTGAGAGCCTGGCATAGGGCAGGGCAGTGTGTAGCGAGCTCTCTTCAGGACATGGGGCGTGGCGGTCACTGCAGCGTGGTGGCAGCTGGAAGCAGTGACATTCGGCTACATGGTGGGCCCTGGTGGAGGTGGGCAGCATGGGGCCGGAGCTGCTGGCTTAGGAACCAGTTTGGGTTTATTATCCAGGCTCGCTGGTGGGCGTGACGATGACAAAGCCTGTGTGACAACGGTGGGTGGCCACCTTACGTGGACACTGACATCATCCTTGGTGCCCACGTGGAGAATGGCTTTCAGGGCCCACGGACCTCAGAGCTGCCCAGCCCACACGGCCGGGCAGGCCTGGGCTTCATTCTCCACTTCTCTGTGCACAACAGTGATGGAGGCCCTGGCAGGGCTGCTGGCATTTCCATTTGGCCGGTGACGGATGGCCATCCGGCTCGCTCCATCTCACAAGGCACCCCTGCCCTCTGGCCCCCGTGGTGGAGCCGCTGCCAGGTCGTCAGGCTGGCAACAAGCAACACTGAGGATGGTTTCCATCCTCGGAACGGCGGCGGTGAGCTGGTTGGAGCTGCTGACTGCGCCTGGGCGGCCTGTACAAACACACTGTTCTCAGGGTGATCCCTGTTGGCAGGGCAGGGTTGACTGAGAGAGTGTGGGCGAGGGGTTCAGCACAGGCTGGCACGGCCCCAGTGCTGCCCAGATGGGGGCTCGGGACCAAGAGCAAGCCTGGTGGCATCCAGGAGATCGGTGCTGGCGATGGACGCTCTCTAGAAAGGTGGGCCCAGCCACCATCTGTAGAGCTCTCTGGATGGGGCAAGCAGATTGCCCTCCACTAGGACTCTAATGGTTTACTGGTGATTCAAACCCACCCAGGGGCACCGCCAAGAGAGGCCTGGCGATCTGCTCCCATGAAGAGCACAGCCAAGAAAAACCTCCAACACAGCTCCCCTCTGTGAACCCAACGGGTTTTTTCTGAACACTTGCTCCGGGGGCCCAGGGAGCCTGGGGTGTAGTGATTATGCACGGGGCTGCTAACGTCGCGGTCAGCGGTTTGAAGCTTTAAGGAAGGAGCTGGTGGGCAGCAAAACGGGTCTCCTCAGAGGAAGGACTCACAGACCCTGCCTCTCAGTGCTACCTTCTGGGGGAGGGCTTGCGTGGGCACGAACAGCCTCTGCCCACTCCTCCTTCTCCAGTGGGTAATATATCTTGGCGCCGCTAGGCTGGGGCGGAGTTCTGAGTGGTGCCAGGGTGAGCACTTGGCTGCAAACCAGCTGCAGTTTGAGTCTACTCAGAGGGGGTTCGGAAGAAAGGCCTGGTGACTTATTTCTGAAAAGCCAGCCATTGGAGACCTTCTGGCGCACAGTTCTAGGGACGCACACGGAGTCCCCGCGACTCGGAACCAGTGTACCATGTGCACCAGCGGTCCTGGCCACGCAGTGTCCCTCTGCTTCTTTGGAGGGGCTCCCCACTCTGGGCTCACCCCCGCCCCCACTCCCGCAAGGTAGGACCTGCGGAACATGGGCTTCACCGGTTTCACAGCGTTGCTGAGGAGGGAAGAATGCGCCCGGGTCTCGGGCCGTGCTCCGGTCTCCCTGTGCGTTTTCCAGGCGTCCTTTCTAACCCCGCGCCCGTGGGCAGGTCTGCGCGGCTCCCCTTTCTAACCAACAGTTACCAAATTTACATTCGCCATGCGCACTTCAGCGCATTGATCTCTGAAACACACTCGTCTCCTTTTATTGCGCGCTTCCCTCTGAGCATGCCTTTGTTAGAACACTTTTAAGCAATTAGAAGCTTTGGATGAGTTGGTTTTTAAAAAGTCCTCGACACATTCGGAGGGGGGCCAAAAAGGAAGCGGGTACGACTAGGTTCCAACAGTCAGTGGTTGCCACGCGCCTGCTGTCCGGTCCGTTGGGACCCACAGCGACCCTGTGCACAGCGGCAGGAAGGACCTCCTGCCCGGTCCTGCGCCATCCTGACGACGGTTCTTCAGTTTGATCCCACGGTTGCAGCCACGGTACCGATCCGATCTTCCTCTTTTTTGATGCCCTACTTCTCCAAGCAGGATGCTCTTGTCCAGGGACAGACAGCTCCCTCCTGATAACAAGTCCAGAGTACTTGTGAAAAGTCTCCCATCCTCACTTCCAAGGAACATTCCGGCTGTCCTCCTTCCAAGGCAGAGTTGTCTGTTCTTCCGGCAGTCCGTGGTCCTTTCAACGTTCCTCACCAACACGGTGACTCAAATCTACTCCTTCTTCTTGGGGCTCCCGTGTCTGCGGCCCAGTTTTTGCGTGCCTATGAGGCGATTGAAAATACTGTGGCTTGGGCAGGGTGCCATCATCCTTAGAGGGCATCTTTGCCTTGCAGTACGCTAGAGCAGTGGTTCTCAACCTGTGGGTCGCGACCCCTTGGGGGGTCAAACAACCCTTTCACAGGGGTCGACTAAGACCATCGGAAAACACGTATTTCTGATGGTCTTAGGAACTGAGACACGGCTCCTCTATTGTCTCCAAGTGGGTCCGCCCACATGCAGCTATGCTGATCTCGTGAGAAAGAAGCTATCTCGACTTCCTTCCGCACTGAGGTTGCCTTTTTACATATACTGTTGCAAAATGTGGCAATGTAGTTTACTGTAGCTATATTAAGACTGTCACCCATGCTACACCATGCTTCAGACAAAAGTTCATTTGTCATTAGAAATAAATATTCCACAATATATAATTACATATTGTTTTTGTGATTAATCGCTATGCTTTAATTATGTTCAATTTGTAACAATGAAAATGTATCCTGTTTATCAGATATTTACATTATGATTCATAACAGTAGCAAAATGACAGTTATGAAGTAGCAACGAAAATAATTTTATGGTTGGGGGTCACCACAACATGAGGGACCGTATTAAAGGGTCGCGGCAGTAGGAAGGTTGAGAACCGCTGCTCTAGGGGCATGTATTAAAGCAGTGGTTCTCAGCCTTCTTAATGCCGAGACCCTTTAATAAAATTCCTCAGGTTATGGTGACCCCATATGTGGGTGTATCTGCATGTGGGCAGACCCCTGGAGATGGATAGAGGAGTGGTGTCTCAGTTCCTAAGTGTTTTCTGATGGTCTTAGGCGACCCCTGTGAAAGAGTCGTTTGACCCCCACAGGGGTCTCGACCCATAGGTTGAGAACTGCTGTATTTAAGGGTCGAGGCATTTGGAAGGTTGAGAACTGCTGACATAAAGGGACCTTTCTCATGCGGTCCAGCTTCTCAGGTTAGTTGCTCAATGCGCAGATT